TTAAAACAAAGAAAGTGCCTTACCATAAAACCTTGCGAGTGTAAAGAGTGAAGAGAGAGAAACAGAGAATACCTATGACAGACAAAAAAATTAATTCTTTTGTTCTTTGTAAAGAAGTATTTTGAACCAAAAACAATCTTACCAGAAAAATTTGCAAATATAACAAGAATTGAAAAGAGAGAGAAAAGAGGGAAATAACAAAAAACAAATAAAAAAAGTAAAAAAAAAATCTTAAAAAAAAAAGAAAAAAGTGTGTTTAAAACAAAAGACTAAAATGATTTCATCAAGTCCCAAAGCAATATGAAAGCCGATTTACATCTCAGTCATTACAAGAAGTATTAATAGAGATTCATATATCAAATATATTTTGAATATATATAATAATTATACCTTTCATATAATACACTTTCCCTTGCTCTTACTCTCTTGCTACTTACTACACTTATACTCCCAAATCAATACACTTGTTCTAACAATTCAAGTATGTAAACTTGATACGATTTATTTTTAATTAAATTTACATAAATTTAATTGTAGAATGACAGCAATAATAATAATATAATCTGAAACTAATCATTATAACCTTTCATTTTATTATATTCTGTAGACAATGACTAACACAAGACGTGAACGCGCAATTGCCCTTCGTCCTGTTGAGATTACCAATCAGCAGCTTATGGAAATACTTTCTACTGTGAGAGCTGATATGTCTACCGTAAAAGGACAGATCGGCAATGTTGAGCAAACTCTGACCAACATGAATGGCAGAATTGGCGTTCTTGCCACCACCAGCACCAACACCATCAGTGCCATAGATAGTTTGGCCAGAACTCCCCTTGCTGCTCCTGTGAGAGCCGAACTCACTGTTGCTGCACCTGTTGTCATCTCCAACCATGAGCCTACCCGTGAAGAATCTAATGCAGTTTATGTGAGTAACATATTATAAAATATTTTATCAATTCATTTTCTCATGATTTATTTATCAGGCTCATATTCACAACCTTATGTGGAAACGCAAGCTTAGCTTGAGAACGCCAGAAAATATCCTGGCCAACAACCTCAAGCCCAGATGGGATACAAATGTTGCTTTCAACAAATCTCCCAACAGGGAGATAGCCGAGAGACTTCTTTCTAACCTTGAGCACAGGTTTGGTTCCTCTAGTATGAGACGGAGTGACCTCCAAAAGAGGTTGCACACCAACTTCACTAGTAGAACCCGTCGTGAGAGAATGTCTGATGATGAGATAGCGGAAACAAACGCTCTTACACGAAGAGCAGCCCGTGCAGATGATGTGAGTATTATGCTAATATATATAGTTTATAGTTGAAAATTAAAAATAAAAATAACAAATTAACAAAACTTATTACTAGAATGAGTGTTGCCGTGTACTGGCCTACAAAGACAATAAGGAGGCAATTGATCTTGTAATGCTCAGAGACTGTGCCAACACTCTCCAAAAAGCAGTAATGTCAGATGGAGAGTCTGCTGATGAAATGGACGAGGATGGCATAAAACATGTCATTCATATTGTACAACCAGGCTGGAGAAGCGATGAGATAGATTAATTTGGAGTAATACATTTGTATTGGTGTATTATTATATTGAGTGAATTATTAACAAATGTATTTCAGTGCAACCGTTTCATTGCACTTGTTGACACTTATGCTGTCCAGGCCATGGGGTCAAGTGCTAATCAAAGGATCTGTAGGATCACTACTTGTGTGTCCAACTCAGCAGTCCCGGATAACATTAGCCCCAATTTTCCTCGGTGGGCTCTTAGAGATGGGCTCTAAATAAAAAAAATGTTTCTCTCTTTTTATCTACGTATTACTTTTTACATACACAATACTATCAATATATATAGGGAATTTGTTCTGTTTTTTTTTGTATAAGAAAAGAAAATTCAAGTGGGGGTTTTTTTTTATTTTAAGCATAAAGCTTTTTTGGCAAAGCAATTACTAACATCTTACTAACATTTCTACTTGTAGTAATCCTGGCTGTAGCAATCTCTAAAAAGATGCGGTGCACAGGTATAATGCAATGGCAACTATCAGGGGAGAAGGTGGGGAGAAAAAACTCAAGACCGTCATCCTCATGCGATCTATCAGAGGAAGTATTAAATCACTTGATATATGCGAATACATGTCGATGATCATGAACCATGCGAGTCAGGTGGAGATTGCTGTTAGAAGGGTGTGTAAAGGAGTGTGTGAAGAGATACTGTATTTGTCCAGCATAGGCTAGGGTATTTCTACCGTCACTACCAACAAACATTACATGGACAAGAGAACCACAACTAGCTGAACCGTTTTTACCACAGTACTGTTGACCAAGTAAGTCAATGAACTTCAACTTTGTGATTTCATTGTCAACAAAGGAGTTTGTGAGCGTGGCATATTGGTAACTGACAAGGTCGGGAAGATCATAGGATGTTTTGTAGTGCTGAAGCAGATGGGCATAGTCGGTTTCATCCATCAGTGATGATTTTTTTAGCTGAAGAGGAAAAGTCGAAGGAGGGAGAGGTTCGTTACCCTTTGGAGGAAGATGTGGGTTGGACGATGCTAGTAAGAATGATTGCAATCGGAATGGATGGGAGGAGAGAGTAATGACTGTGGTGGTAGGTGTGAATTTTGGAGAAAGCTTTGAGAGAATGTTGAAAAAGGGGACGTGGCTAGAACTTTTCAGAACAGCATTGGCATAGTCACCCTTGAATGCGTTTTGAACAAAACTTCTCATATATGTTGCCTCAAAACTATCTTTTCCATTTGTCTTTATATGCTTCAACAGGCCATTGTATCTCTCAAACCCAAAGAGCCAGTAACCATACACAGGTCCAAAATCACGAATGGTCTCGCAAAGGTGGAGGTGCAGGTGCATGTTGCAGGTGAGGATGGTGGGAGTGTAGAGTTCAGTAGCCTTTTTGCAAAACATTTCCAGATAGTCATGGGCACTGTTCACTTCATCAAATGTGATGCTTGGCTTGATAAGATAGCGGCATGCACGGACGAAATTCATCCAGTTGTTGTACATTTCAAATGGTAGAACACCATGCAGCAGAACAGGAGAATACACCAGTACCCAGGATTTCCAGTCGTCAGCTTTCATGTAAGGAAAGCCTTTTCCAATCTTCGATGTCAGCTTTGTATAATCCCTCGGAAGGACCATTGTCTCTGCGATTTTTTCCATGGCAGCAAACTCTTCGGCTCCAATCGTTTTCTTATCGACCCACTGGTCCATCATTCTCTTGGGCGTCCCCAGGAATAAATTATGCATGGGATCAATGATCGTTCCACATACTAGATCAAAGTATCCAAGGCGTTGCAACTGCGTCCATCGAACACCATATTTGACCTCCAGCTGGTGCCTTTCTGAGGGTGTACTTGCACTCTTCCACTCCTCAGCATGCAACCTGTTCTCTACACTGCTACGAATATTCCAAAGCAAATAATCGAATCCACTGAAGTCCACCTGATTTGTGTTGGGCAATCTGGGGAACTGGGTTGTACACTTGTAGCATGCACATGTACTATTGTGGGCTGTAAATCCACTTGTTTTCCTGGCAGCAGGGATGTCACACGCAACCATCAGCAAGGCAGCATGGACATTAGCACCAGAAGGGCACTCGTAGGTCGGGACTCGCATTCCAACATACAACTGCTTCATCTCATCTACCATGGGCTTGAAATAGTTATTTATCTCCTCGCATCTTGGCTCCTTGGGACCAGGCATCAAACCAACCAGAATTGTGTTCTCAGGCTTGAACCGTACCTCTTGAGGCAGATTATTTACAACCAAGTAAATTGCACCAGAAGAGTAACTAACTCCATCGAACGGCTGGAACCAGTCTATGTTGAGTGTCAACATCAATGAGCGAGGACAAGCAACAAACGAGACACCACTTGCATCCTTCAGCTCTTTCCATATTGCTCCATCGTATACATTGCACATAGTATCAACAATCTTAAGCTCCGTGTTCCAGTGACGGATTTGCTCTTCAAAATCAGGACGAAGGAAAAGAACAGACAAAGCTTGCTTGAGGGACTGGTACAAGTATGCTTGCTTTGATACCAGTGCACCTGAAGTTGACTCTTTCATCAACTTACAACCACAAGGAGAGCATGCACCAACATTTGTGAAAACACAATGGGGAGGTATGGACATGTTTTCTTCATAGATGCAATGGCAGTTTGGACATGACACAAATCGCTTGATGTCTTTGGTGATAGACAAAAAGCCAGTCATTTTATGTAGCCCAGCCAGACTTTTGGGAAGTTGGAAATCTTGTCCATAAATCTTCAAGAGCTCGTTGATGAACTCCATCAAGACAACAGAACCCTTATTGACCACGTAACGAGATGCAAACAGTACTGTAAAAGTAGCAATAAATCTGTGCACTGGATTCTCGGGCATACCAGAAGCAGCAAAAGGGTCTTTTTTTTAAAAAAAAAATTAACACACATTTTTTTTAGTTTTTTTTTATGTATTTAAAACTGACCCTCATTGTTAAACTCTTCAACATAAATCTCGGCAGTGTCTTCTTTGCCATTGTCATCACTGTCATTGTCATTGGTTGTGTCAGACTCATCACCATTGTAGTCATTATCAACAAAGACGTCATTGTCAAATGTTGAGATGGCATCCGAAATAGGTGAGTTGGCCTGACCGTCCATTGCTTCCACAGAATTGGATTGATATGTTGGGATTACTACAAATATGGAATATAATAGTTTATTATTAGTTTTTCTTCTGTGTTTCATATAAAAAATGTCTTACTTTCAGTATCTACTTCCATGCTTCTCTTTTCATCTATGTTTTTTAAAATAATAAAAAATATAAATAAAAGTGATTATTACTCGGTAGACAGATAACAGCACTGAATAAATTATACAACTCTTGAATATCTCAGTACCTTCAAATCTAGCTCTTTTATTATGACGCTGAGCAGTACGTCTCGGTACTCAGGAAACTCCTTGATCATTATTATTGCATCTGGTGCAGTGGCAATCAGTGTTGTGCATTTGAATAGAAGGAAACATAGTGTATGTATTTTGAATTATAAAATAAAAAAGGAAACAAGAGTTCTACAAATATTTCATTTGATATGATTTTATAGTAAACCAAAACGTATTTTTTATTTTATTTTTATTTTATTTTTATTTAAGCTAATAGAATACATCAAAACTACACCCCCAACTTGATGAAAAAAAATCCTGACATATCCACTATGATCCGACTACCTGGACAATATGTTAATTGTCCTTATTTTTCCAGTGGTACTTACTGTAATTAATTATTGGTCTTATTGATTTACTATAAGTAAAATAAATAAATTATTCATTTGTTCTTATAATAATAGCTGTTTTACTATAATAATAAAAATATGTTCTTAGATGTAATAAATCCAACAACCAAGTGTCTGAATCACCACAGTTTAGTTAAATATAATGAGAAAATAAGATACAACGTGTGGTTGTCTGAAGTTACTGTTGACAGAATAATGCTTTTTCGTTGTACTTATTGGTGTTTTGCTCTACAAACAGAAAAATTTCTTTCTATTCAGCCTCAGCTGTCGTCGGAAAATCAAAAAAAAATAATAGAATATAATTTTTCTAGAATTACAAAGAATTCTGCAACATCACCACACTGCTGGACAACCAAAATTTTGTTAACTGCCAACCATTTTTACAACACTCTGTATCAACAGTGACGCGTGATGTGTTTGTTTGTTGTGGATTATAACAGTATCACTTGGCAAATAAATGTAATGTGAATTATGAAATACAAAAAGAAGAATACAATAAGAATGGAAAAGAATGGGTAATTTAACAGGTAAGAATTTGTGACAGACAGGTAGAAAAAATAGGGAGAAGATTAAAATGGAAATTGTGACAACGACAAAGTCTGAGAAAGACAGAAAGGGGAAAACAAGGAAACAAAATATATCAAAATTGACAGACAACACTCCAAAGAACAAGGACACTATGTATGAATGAAGAATAATGATAATGACGGACAAAAATAAATGAGATCAAGGATAGAATGATGATTTTATTGATTGAAAAGGTTGTTCCTTTTATAAACAAAAATGTTTGGTTAAAATAATTTTTTGAGGGGGTGACAGGTGTTTCTGAGGTGACGATATTTAATTATAAGGAATGAGATTATATTGGGGGGTTTGGGTATAGGGGTATCAGGAGCAAGATTTCCCAAGAAACCTGGGGGACCACTCTTGTCCCTCGAGACATGTCACTCGGTCGACTCACAGTTGATGTCAATGCCCACGAGTCTGGTACCACCCATCACGGCTCACCGCCGGACCAAACCACCAAAGGAATCCACCGTCCGGTATTCCCCACCAGAAACTGGTTAAAGCTGGAGTTGTTTACAACACACGTGACAGCAGTATGAACGCCATGATAGTATAGTGGCAGTACGTCGCGTTGTGGCCGCGCTGACCCTGGTTCGATTCCAGGTCATGGCATTTAATTTTTTAAAATATTAATTTTTTGTGTTGTCGGACATTATTTTGATGAATCCGAGAAATCGGGATAATTGACCGCAGCAGTTCTGTATGTCAAAGATACCTCATAGATAACGAACCGCAGTAATGTCTTGTAAAGATTAACCACAGTAACATCTTTTGAGCATCAACTGCAGTAAAAGGACTTCTCTTGTAATTAAATAGCGTATAATAGTTTACTGCGGATAATGCGCAGTATTAGTTTAGAAAACTATATAAGACAATTCAATTCCTATCAATAAAAAAAACCTTTTATCCTCTCTTCGATTTTACATATACTCTCCGATCCCCAGTGGGTTTGACCTTTTGACTTTGCTATAGTAAAAGGAAGACCATCCCAGATCAGGAACGACAGTGTCATATTGTTGTCAGAGTTAACATTGTAGATAGAAATCCTTAAGTCAGGTATCCAATTGGTTATTCCTTTTAACATATGCCCTCAATCACTGCAAAAAAATGCCCAATTCCCATATGTGATGGGATGTAAAATTCGGTGAACAGAAAACCCAAATTTGTAGTGCAGGATTTTTTTTTGTAGAATAAGCATTGCAATTTTTTTAAAACGATTCTATTGGTCATAGAGCACCGAGTAGCATAAAAAAATACAATAATAAACTTAAATTGAATGAAATAAACTGTACCTGAATATATATTTATCTTCTTTACTATTTAAAAAATAACATTATTTTAATAATTATTAAGCAATGACACCAACCCGTAAATCAAACAAAACAAAAGAATGCAAATGTTCTGTTTGCAAGACAAGATTTGGAGGATCAGATACAGTGTCTGTACAGACATTTAATTTTCATAAAACAAAAGACAATGCTGGAATGAACATCTTTCGTAATAGATGTAGGGAATTTTCTTTTATGTTTTAATTATATTTATATTTATATTTTCGATGTAATAACATATGTAATGTAGTGATTATTAAGAGATCAGTCAAAACTACTGTAAGCTATGTTCCTGAAGTTATCAACAATAATGAACAGAACTTGGTGGCCATAGACAATGATTATGATATGGATTATGACTTTGATGGTAAAAATATATATTTTTATTTTTATTTTTATTTACTCTAACTTCTTTTATGGTTCCGGTAGAAATGGACACCAGTATAGAAGTAGACATGGAGACACAAGAGCCTATTCGAGTCTTACCTCTCTCAGAATCCGATGCTGTCTTTGGTTATGAGAATGAAGAGTTTAACTCTGATCTTGATTCTGACGGTTGCAAAGATGATTCCAGTGAGGATGACATGCTTGATAGTGAAGGTTTGCACACTTTCATAATGGATATTGGGTTCTGCTGTATAAAATAATAGAAATTATTTTTTTTAAAAAAGACAACTTTCCTGAATTCAACTCAGAATTGAGTTTCATCTATCAATTTTTTCATACAGGTCCTTGCACTCTTTGTATCCTTGTACGTTGTTGATGAAGGCGCCATTCTTCTCATTGCCATCACAAATAAAATACTCGAGCTTTTCAGAGATCCATTCCGTCTCCCAGTTAGCATCCCTGGTCTCAAAAGCATGGCAGGATTCAATACCTTTACAGACGGTATAAAGAAATATGTTTCTTGTAGCAAATGTCACTGCATATATGAGAACAATGAATCAACACCCTGCTTCTGTATCTTTAATAAATTTGGGAATAACTCAATGTGCAGTAATAGTTTGTTCAAGTTGGGAAATCAGTCGTCCATTCCAAAAAGAACATATGTGTATCACTCTGTTCAGAATTCGATCAAAGCTCTCTTTTCTCGGCCTGATTTTAAAACCCAAATCGACTCGTGGAACCATAGCCCGAAGGCTGAGAATACCATGTTTGATGTGTATAATGGCTTGATGTGGAAGGATTTGAAAGACACCAATGGAATTCTCTTTGTTCATGGCAACCACTCACTGATGTTGACCTTAAACATTGACTGGTTCCAGCCATTCAACGGTGGGACATATTCATGTGGTGCAATTTACCTGACTGTAAACAATCTTCCTCAAAGTGTAAGATTCAAGAAAGAAAATGTCATTCTTGTTGGGTTAATGTCAGGTCCAAAAGAAGCAAAAACATCCAAGATAAATTTGTACCTCAGACCTCTGGTTGACGAATTAGAAAAGTTGTACAAGGGAGTCAGAGTCCAGACATATCAATGCCCAAATGGTACCACCATCCACACTGCTCTGTTTATGGTTGCCTGCGACATCCCTGCTGCCCAAAAAGTGTGTGGATTCACGTCCCATACCAGTACAAACGCATGCCACAAATGTAATTGCCAATTCTCCCAATTAGCTGGAACGAGCTCTGTCAATTATTCTGGATTTGATTTCTCAAAGTGGCTCCTTCGCACTAAGAATGATAATTGTAAGGATGCTGAGGTCTGGAGGAATGCAACCACTGAAGCTGAGAGACATCGTCTTGAAGTTGAAAATGGTGTTTGCTGGTCCGAACTGCATCGTCTCCAGTACTTTGACGTTGTCCACTGCATGATCATTGATCCAATGCACAATCTCTTCTTAGGCACAGCCAAGAGGATGATGGAGAAATGAGTTGCAGATGGTCTAATTGACAATAAAAAACTCGTTGCCATGCAGAAAATCGTTGAAAACATGACATTGCCGCCTGATTACACCATGCTAAGATCAAAGATTTCAAAGGGATTTCCCTTTATAAAGGCAGACGAGTGGAAATCGTGGTGTCTGGTATACTCTCCAGTGGTTCTACAAGGCGTACTACCAAAGCAAAAGTTTGAGAATTGGATGTTTTTTGTGAATGCCTACCGTTTCCTTACCAAGCCAAATGTTTCTGAAGATGATGTACAGTCAGCACACATAGCACTTGAGAAGTTTGGTAAAGGTTGTGAAAGGCTGTATAGCAAGGATCTGTTATCTCCAAACATGCATCTCCATCTTCATCTTTGCAACACAATCAAGGACTTTGGGCCTGTTTATGGGTACTGGCTCTTTAGTTTTGAGCAATACAACAGCGTCCTAAAGAATATCAATACCAACAGAAGGAGCGGCTTTGAAATGACATACATGAAAACATTCATTGAAGATACCCGTAAAGGCGATTTTGTTCGCAATTTCTTGAAGACATCTGGTCCATTCAATTTCTCTGGTATCTTCAATAAATTGGTAACTGGTTATAGTCCTGCTGATTCTACAACTAGCACCGCCTTGTACAATTGGTTCTCTCTACCAGACTTTCTTGATGCTGCCAAAAATCCGAACTTGTCAATTTGTGGTAACAAACCTTTGCCGCCATCAGCGCTGCCCTTGCAAAAAAAAGCGTATGAGATGATGCCAAGACAGGAGTATGATTGTTTGGTAGGATATTACCAAGCTGTTTACAACGATCCCACCATCTCCAGTTGCAAAGACGTGATTCAAGATACAGCTTTTGTCAATGACTGGATCGAAACGCTCAAATCCGTCAACCTCCTTGGCCAGACATTCAAGGGAAGTAGAGGTACGAATGGAAGAGGATCATATATACAAGCAATGTTCATAGAAGGTCGAAACGGAGCAAAGTATGCGTATGTCGGAGAGATTCAGTACCTATTTGTTCATTCATTTAGTCCATTTGTTTCTACTCCACATCACAGAACACCCCAAAGTAGCCAACATACATTTGCTTATGTAAAATGGTACAAGGCTTCCAAGGAGACAAGTAGAAAAATTGCAGGTGTAGAAATATGGGATGTTGCATTTTCTTTGCCTGACTTTCAAAGCATCTTGCCAGTGCACCAAATTCTCCTTCCTGTTGCAATTGTTGACCATACAACATTACAAAATATCAGCAAAAAACTTATTGTTCCTTTGCCTAGAAAACTTTACTTTTAAAATATATAATTATCCCTTCTTTTCTTTCTAATAATATTATTCAATTTTTTTAATATGACAGTGAAAAAAAAAGAGAGCAAACTGTTTGTTTTTATTGGTTTTGAATTGCTCAGACAGGAAGGATCGCGGTCAGGTGACCGGGGACAGGAGTGACCGCAATGGTTTTTAGGTATCTGGGCATTCTTTGCTTTGATTGTGGTGTTGCAATCTTCTTGTCATTCTCTGCTGCCAAGAAATCAATGAACTGAATAAGCCTATTCAGCTATATATAATTAGTTAGTTTATTTCTGTACAGTCATCTTTTTATAGAAATATATTATAGTGTACACCTTTAAAAAAAATTACCTTAGCACTTCTCCAACTAGGACGAGCAACCTGCAAAACCCGCACACGGATTATAGGAGTGACGTCCTCATCTTCCGATTCACCATCAGACATCACACTCTTCTCGAGGAGATGCAAGTATGCCATCTCATCAGGGTTACCTGGCTTGTATCCCATCTTAGTGTCAATTGCTAGCCAATTGTTAATGTAGGTATCAACACGACGCAAGTGAATCTAGATATATTTTAAAATGATTAGAACAGAATGCAAAATATTTAATTTCTTTTTTTTGTTTGTAATTTTACCTCAATGCGATGGCTGTTGATACGATTATTGCGCCTTTTGGAAGACGCTTGCTCGGGGGTTGCATTGACAGCACGAAAACATGTCTTGTAATTGTTTTTTATTTTCTGCACTATCATATCCTCCCAGAACCCAGCTGTGCGAGGCTGGGCAATGATATACTGTCGGAGGTAATTAATCACCTCAACATTGTCAGGATGATCGATCCTCTCAGCTGTGTTCCATTGCCTGCGGCTTTTGTTTTCAGCAACAAGCTCAGGATCATTCGAACGGAAGTTTCTCACCCACATTCTCCCATTGATGAGATTCTATATGATTATTATTATTATTATTTAGGTAGTGTGTTAAAGCATGAAGTCAGAAAAAATCATACCAGAACAATTGCATGCATTTCGCCTTTGGTGTGTCTATTTGTAGACACATTGGCGGCAGTTACTCCCTGAGTTACAGAAGATGCAACAAGAGCTTGCTGGGCAATGGCTTGGTTGTGAGCATCGACCAGAAAACGAATTCCAGTGTTGGCTTCGACAGTAGGATCGTACATCATGTTGATGGCTGCCATAACCTGCGTTAGAGACTCGACAGTCATTCCAGGAGCCTCTACCCCACTTGGACCAGCTGCAAGTGGCGATACTCTTGGAGCAATCTCATGTTGCTCAATCCGGCCGGCAGCAACACGGCTAAGTGTTCCTCGGGCATTATGTTTGCCTTTGTGTCCTGATTTTCTAGTGGCATTGGAAGGCATGCTACAAATATTTACATATTTTTTAAAAAATAAATAAATATAAATAAATAAAGCATATATAGAAGAATATTATGAAATATTATTTTAATTATACAAACATACATGGTAAAGCACAGTAATAGTATGTGAGGTTTCTAATAAAATGTGAGGGAGGATATAATAATCTGGCAAATAGAAGTGGTATTTATATGTCCCAATACTTCTTGGGTGTACAGCAACAAAAGAAAAAATTATAGGGACACACGTTTTAAATTATAATAGACCCTAATAAATTCTGAGAACAGAATGAGCTTATTCACTACTCTTACAATTTGTTTTTTTATTTTTCTTTTTTTTATTTTCTTTTTTTTTGTTCTCTCTCTTTCTCTTATACTGTTTACTTTTGCTTCTTTTTCTACACTATGGTAAATACTTAATATTTTCTTTTTACTTTATTTTACATGATTATTAACACTAAAAAACTTCTATCGTCTTTATTATGTAGGGCTTCCTGCACGAGTTAACATAACACACTGGCTTACAAAGGTGAATAAGAAAGCAAACAACTTTTATTGCGTGATGCTAATCATCAGCTTATTAATCTTTAGATGCAAAACGATGATGATGACAACCATCAAAAGCTAATGATGGAAATAAACATGGTAAGCTTTAATAAAATATCTTCTAATCACTTATATTAACGTTACACTTTCTTCATTATCATTTTGAATTTATTAGATTTTCTCTATCTCTCTTTTGCACGCACGCATTAAAAGGATGCCAAAGAATCACTTTTTCTGGTAAGCAAGACTTTATAATTATTATTCTCTCATACTAATCATATTTTTTTCCCTTTCTATTAGGAATACTTGGAGTACACCAACAATTATATAAATGCTATCCATAGCAATATGATCCTCTATTTCCAAAGAATAAATCTGGTCTGTACACACATGTTTTGAAAATGACAAAATCGATTTTGATCATCCCAAGATTCTGCCCCTTCCCTTAATATTCAAAGAGGTATTGCAGTATTCCCATTTATTTATCCCAAAAGGTAAGAGATATTATTAATGATCAAAGTAGAATCGCAGTACCCAAAATCAAGAACCTAAAACCGAGAATGCAAAACAAAGACCCAATGTCAAATGTCTGGATCAAATGCCCAGACCAAATGCCAACTATCCAAGGCCAATTATTAGAGAACCTATTTTGAGATTTTTTTAATAAAATAAAATAAAAACCCATTTGTAAACTATTTCCCGAGAACTATTTTTAAATAAAAGTACAAGAAGTATATTTTTTGATCAATCAAATAATGAAATTCAAATTGTAAATGGAGTACCCGTCCAATAAGATTGATACTTGCCAGAAGATAGTTGAGCTATCATCAGAAGATTGTTGAAATATACACCTTCTTGAATGATTTTTTTGTTTGCAAGAAGCATTTTATTAGGCTTGGGGGGTCTGGTGATACTCAAAAGAAGATAATCAAAAGAGTGATCACAGCATTTGTTTGGAGGGTTTTCTAGCTTTTTCAATGTTTTTGGGGGGTTTTTGTTTTTGTTAATTATAATAAATATAAGTATGTTTTTTTAAAAGAGAGGATTGAGGTCTAATTCTTGGCAAATGCGGGTTAGGGTCTTGCGAGCCATACCAACAACAGCAGACAGAACAAATGGTGAATCGTCAAAAATGAAAGTCCAGTGGTGACGCCATATTGCAAGGAGGGTGCATCCAAAGACAGTAGAAGGGGGAATAGAAGAGTTTAAGGAAGAGGGAAAAGAGAAGAAGTGAAAAGCGTTGTGTAGTGCGGTTGGGGTAGGTATTGTGCCAAAGAATTCCAGCCACATGCCGATCCACACCGCGTTTTTGGGAGGACAAGTGAAGAAGAAGTGGTCTTGGGAGTCGGAGGAGAGAGAGCAAATAGAGCAGGTAGGAGAGAGAAAGGTGAGAGGAAGCAAAGAGTGAAGACGGGCTCGGCAAGAAATCTTGTTGTGTAGACCACGAAACCAAATGTTACGAGCCACCAGGGGAAGGGGGAAAGACCAAAATTTCCGCCAATAACGAGAGCCACGAGGGGATCGAAATAGCGGGCACGGACGAGATGGTGGGAGCACAGCCTGCGGAAAGTGCGTGTGGAAAGGCGTGTCCAAGTCTGAGAAGGTACGAGCGCATTAAAGAAAGGGAACAAGTCAATTGATGTGCCATCTTGAACGAGCAGAGACAGATATTGTTCGGTCAGTTCACGAGGAGAGCAACAAGCACAAACGATTATCAAATGTAATGTGAGAGTGTTGAGTTGAACTCGGCCAAGGAACTTATTAATAACATGAGAGCGTGGGTGGCTGCTGGTGATGGAGATAGACCGTAGCGACGCCAGGGCAGGGTCAAAGGTGTAGAGGTGGGAAACCAAAAGATCTTGCCAAGATGGAGGGAAGCGTGCTTGGGAAGCAGGGACAATGGTGACTGCTGAGAGAGGCAAAGCAAGGCAAGTAGTCGAATTTACCACAACATTATCAAAGTTGTGCGGCAGATGGTCAATGGCAGCAAAGGCTAAATGTAGAGGAGAGGTAAGATCCCGCCATCCAGAAGGACGCATACTTGGAAATAGAAGGGGAAATAGGGGAGAAAGAGATGGAAGTGAAGCCTGTAACAATCCGGACATCCAGCGTGGGACCAAACCAGGTGGGGACCAAGGAGCGCGGATGATAGGTTGAAGCCAACGAAGTTGTAGAGCGCTCTGCTGCGTCTTAGGATCGATGATACCAAGTCCACCTTGCATGCGTGGGAGGCAGAAAGTATCCAAAGAAATCGGGGGGAAGGTGCCACGTTGAAGGAAGCTACCCATGATGGACCTGATCTTCTGAAAGAAGGACATAGGTAGAGAGACCACACGCAAAACATGCCAAAGCTGAGAGAGTATGAGAGATGTTAGAACGGTGGCTTTACTCCGAAAGGAGAGACAGCGAGATGAGTGAAGATTGCAGCTGTCCTCAATCCTTTGGAGAAGAGATGAGCAGAACGAGTCCCGTTGAGCCTTGGAGTGAATCAACGGAAAGCCAAGATAATGGAGAGGTGCGGGCAAGGTGCGGTCATGCCAATCGGTAATGTAATGACGACGGAGGGTGGAGGTCCAATCGGGGAGAGGACTACCAGATAGTGAGAAAGCTTGCGTTTTGTGGAGGTTGATACGCGCATTGGACGCAGCGGAATAGGTGGTGAGATGTGTGTGGAGTCGAGCAAGGTGAGCCGGATCTGGGAGAAATACCAGAAGATTGTTGGCATAAGCTAGAAGTTTAATAGGAGGAATAGTAGCCACACTATCAGGGACAGAAGGTCGAAAACCGAGGAAGGATTGATCACTTATAACCCGTCGCAACAAAGGTTCAAAAGCCAAATTGAACAAGATGGGAGAGAGAGGGTTGCCTTGACGGAGGCCACGCAATTGTGTGAGAGGGCGAGATAGGAAGCCATTAACGTTGATCTGAATCTGTGTAGAGAAAAACAATTGGGTGATACAAGTTATTATAGATTTAGGAAAGCGAAAGTGATCGAGAACTTGGCGCAAGTATTCTGGGTGGACTCGGTCGTACACTTTCTCCTGATCAAGAAGAAGACCCACTCCAGTCAAGCTTTCCTGAAGTGCCTGAGCCATGACCATCTGGGTGAGCATCCCATTATCAGCAATAAATCGTCCTTGAACAAAGCCAGTTTGGTAGGGAGTGACAAGAGGAGTGGCAGCAGGGATCAAACAAGAGTTAAGAAGACGAGTGAAGACCTTAGCATCAGTGTTGATAAGTGTGATGGGTTGCCAATTCCGAAGGGAGGTAAGGTCGCCTTTTTTCGGGAGAAGACACACGCAGGTGGACATCCAAGTGGGGGGAAAGACACCATCCAACAAAGCTTCGTTATATACACGCGAGACAAGAGTGGAGCATTCGGGGTGGTCAAGTATGAGTCGCAGAATCTCGTATTGCAATCCGTCAGGACCAGGGCTACTGGCATTGGGGGATCGAGAGGCACCTTGACGAATAGTGTCGAGGGAAAATTTGCGAGTGAGGCAATGTTGAGTGAGATCAGTGAGGGCAAGATTGTCAGGAAGATTCTGGAGAAGATCGTCAACAGCAGCAGAAGTGATGGGCTCAGGAGAGTAGAGAGTCTCATAGAAGGCAGCAGCAGCCTCCGTCATGCTGTCAGACTCAGTGCAAAGATAGTCGGTAACAGGATGGCGTAGGCTGGTGATGAGTTTTTTGGACTGACGTGTAGCAATGGTGCGTTTAAGGAAACCGGCAGAGGTTTCACCCTGTTCGCACCATTGTCGGCCAGCCCGGAGAGCAAGAATTTCTACGCGTTCCAGTTGAACCTGTTGGAGCTTGCGTTCGATTACAGAAAGCTGAAAGTTCTGGGCGGGTTGATGGCAAAACCAAAGAATCAACTTATCACGCCGACTTTGAAGTTGTGCTTCTAGAGTAGACAGGGAAGGTGAGATTTGACGAGAGAAACGTTTAATGAATCTAGTCACTTCAGACTTGACTAAATCCCAGTTTGTCTGTGGGGAATTGGAGGCGGGGAGAGTGGGAACGAAGGTGTAAAGAAAGACAGAAAGTTCGTCCTGGAAGGAAGTGAGCTGAGCAAGGTGAGGGTTCGCCCGCCAAAGGCCTTTACCACTGGTCCGAGAAGAAGGAAGGGAGAGTACGACTGTGACCAGACAATGGTCAGACCACTGTGAGTGTATATATTCCACCGAGTGTGAGGTGGCACAAGAAGCAAGGTTGGAGGAGGCGAATATGTAGTCAATTGTGGAGGATGATGTCCCATGGTGAAAGGTAGGTTGAGGTACCTTGCTGGTGGGAGTCACACAGTCCACAAGGCGGTTGGTGAGAAATTGAAGCCATGGGCGAGGTAGAGTGCTATGGGCGGTGGTAGTAGTGAGTGAGTGATTGAGGTCGCCCAATAGAATCATATTAGTGGGTGACGCGGGTATCAAGAGAGGATTGTGAAGAAGAGAGGTGAGGAACGAATGTCGTTTGCGATAAGTAGCGGGAGCATAAATGACACAGATACGGAAAGAGTTGAACATAGACTGTGTGTGAGATATCGTAGCAGTGATACAGTGGCCGCATATACTAAACAATGGATCAGTAAGCATAATATCTTTTGAAAGGCATACAAGTCCACAATGAGGAGACCAAAGAGAAGAAGAAGATTGGAATTGCATAGTAAATGTGTCTTGAAGAGCAATAGAGTGGGCATGGGTTTCTTGAAGGGCGAGGAGATCAATTCCCTTCAAACGTAAGTGGCGTATAAATAATGAGTGTGTTTTGGGTCGTCCCACCTTGGGGAGGCCTCTGCAGTTCATAGTTCCAATGGTAATCATTGGTTAGATTTGGCCTCTGTGCCGAGGGCTTGACGGGTGAACCGGGGTGGAGGGGAGAGCGAAGAGTTACGAGAGGCAGTGTTCCTGCGTGTGGGGGACGTGGAAAGACTGCGTCTCATGTTGCGGTTGGGCGTATGTCGGGTAAGACGACGTACTCTTTCAGTTTCAGTAGCCTGAATAGCCTCCAGGAGAGCCTGCTCATCGGCAGCCTTCTCAGGCTCCTGTTGCAATTGGGCTTTGTCAGAATTTACCTGTTCTGGAAGGGCGTCAAGCATTGTGTCGTCTTCAGGATCTACAATATAGGCAGTGTTGTCGGATGGTGTTTCCTCTTCAGCATGGTTGACTACCTTGGCTTTGCGTTGTGGTTCAATTGGCAGAAGAGAAGATGAAGCTTTGTTAGCCGGATTGTGGATGGAATCCGCAGATGTACCAGTGGGGAGATTAGTTGTCAGGGGGCGGGGCAGCACAATGTGATCCTAGTGAGGAACATGGTTGAGGTGGCGAGAGCGTTTGTTAGTGGTTGCTGACCTATGACCAGGTTTGGAGACGTGGGGACAGTTAGCTTGCAAATGGCCAGGCTTGTTGCAGCTGTGACAGGTGCGTGTTTCTGAAGAGCGTGCAGGATAGGCATCAATGTCGTGGCCCATTTGTTTGCAGTATTTGCAATGGGAGCCCATATGTGCCCATTCTCCAAGGATGGCAGTGTTGTCGTTGTAAGAAATCTCGTAGGCAAGCTTGGCGACTTGCTGAGCTGGTGGGTCGGGTCGTTCAAGGAGGACACTGCCAGTGCCATCGAAAAAGGTATAACTCTCGTGGACCACAATTTCGCGTACAATTCCGAAAGGGGCAAGGCACCGTTGAAGTCCAGTTACTAAATCAGTATAACGAACACCAGGGAGTCGAGACAATGTTACCCGATATACCTTGCGACCAGGAGCAACGGCAATACAGGCTGGGAAGTGTTGATCAGAAACAAAAATAGGATGCACGCACGCAATAGCACAGGAAGCAGCGTCGAGGAATTGGACCTCGAGAGCAGTAGGAGCAGAACGACTGGGAAGAGTAACTTTTACGATAGAGTCTGCAAAAGCAGAGCTTTTCAGGGCATGCCAGAAGGCATTGTGGAGAGGAGAAGTGGGAAGAGGAGCGTTATAACAAACAGTGTGGGGTGCAGTGCCAGCACGCCAGATGCGTGGTAACCCATCAATGGAATCGCCATATATGATACGAGGTTGGTGAGGAAGAAGAGCAGTAGGTGCGAGAGTAGCAGCGACCAAGTACGTGCGTTGTGAGGTGGTGGGGCTGGATGGGGTGGTGGAGTGAGGTGAGGGTGAGCCGAAAGTTGAGGGGGGGTCCCCAAGTGGATCCGGTGGAGTAATGGGAAGAGCCATGACCTTCTTGAATGAGTCCAAAACAAGAATAAATAGGCAATACACAAAATAAATGTAACATTTTACTAGAAAAAAAAACTCAGAATTCAATTAAGGTTTCGGATATAATGAGATATAACAGAACTCTATGACCACGCACAGACCCATTCTATCCATAGAATCTAGGTGTTTAATATTTAGTAGCTAGTTTTCCTATCATTCTGAGAATTGTTGTATAATATTTGGAATGTATTTCAAAAATCACACAGAATTTTACATCCTATCACGTATGGGAATTGGGCATTTTTTGCAGTGAATATTATACCAATTGGTTCCCCTTTTTGTTAATTAAGACATACTGGTTTTATCCATTCAATTGGCACCCATTTCCATCTAATTAGCATCCGTTTCCATCTAATTAGAACCCATTGACATCTGATTGGCTTCTATAGAAATTGAATTTGCTCCCATTGCCATCTGAATTTGCTCCCCCCTTTTACTATTGGCGGAAGGGTACATGGCACTCAAATTTTTTATCCTTATGCCTTACAATTTTTTTATATAACCATAGTATTTTTTTTGTAAACGTCGTACTTTTTTTTGTAAATGTCATACTTTTTTTTGTAAACGTCATACTTTTTTTTTGTAAATGTCGTATTTTTTATATAACCATAGTATTTTTTTTTGTAAATGTTGTATTTTTTTGGCATAAAACATGGATATTTTTATTAGGCATAATTAGTTGATAGAGAAATAGAACACATAATAATAAGTAAGATATAATGAAATACAAAGTAATAAAAAAAGAAAAGCATAAAGCAGTAAAACAAATAAAAAAAGAGAGACATAAAGCAGTAAAAAAAATAAGGAAAAGAGGGACATAAAGTGATAAAAAAAAATAAGAAAAAGAAGGACATAAAGTAGTAAAAAATAAAAATAAAATAAAAAAAGACATAAAGTGTAAAGAGCTTAAATAGATATAAAAGACATACTTAAAGCTTTTGCTCTCTGTTCAAACAGCAGGAAAGAATGAAATGGCATGGTTAATCCAACCCAAACAGTCCGAAAGGGTGACAGTCTCAGCTGATTCTGTAATCCTTAAGATGAGCCCATCTGACTCTGTAATCTCTTCTCTGCAGACACCAAACTTGATCTTGGACCACATTTCCTCAATTGGATTCAGGAAAGGTGAATACACAGGAAGATATGCACACTTGTACCCACGGGAAGAAATAAAGTCTTTCACCTCATCGGCCTTATGGATAGGAGCATTATCCATGATGAGATAACGTCCTTGTATACTCTGGCTGTCCAGAACGTCCATTGTATGACTAAAAAAGTTGAGGTAATGCTGGGTCCTGGTACCAATTCGGCCATTCACCTCAACGTTGGTGTAGATGTCCAACTTTCTCTTCTTCTTTGTTGTGACTGCAGTGGGTTTCTTCAACAAGAGACTGACAATCCCTCTCTCGCACATTGCACCAAGGATGGTGATGGACACACCTCTCTGCGTCAGGACAGTTGTCTTAGCTGGGGTGCCACTGATGGAACGGCCAAAAGTTCTCTTGATGTGCATGTTGAAGCCTGCTTCATCGATGAACACACAGTTTGACAGATAGTTGAAATCTGCAAGTTGTTGTCACTCCAAAATGCGGTCTCGTCTCATCTCAATTGTACTGACGTCGTCTCTCTTCTCAGGCAGCTTCTCCAACTTCTTCATTGTCAGGGCACACTTCTTCACCAAGTGCTTCTGGATTGCTGATTTGGTAATCTGCAGCCCAGAGAACTCTTCCATGACAGCTATCCTTGCTTGTTCCAAGGTAGCATCTGATTTATTTTCGAAAAACTTCAAAAAAAAAGCAGAGTGCGCCTGGAACAACTTTTGGTTGCCATGTTTTCGTTCTTTAGGTGCAGAAACCTCCTCAACCTCCATCGTCTCCAGCCCATTGGACTCATCAGTCTCCACTGTGGCAGCATCAAAATCGGCCTGGATCTTCTCTCTGGCCAGCCTGACATAGTTCTGGGCTGTCCGGACATTGATCCCCGTTTCCCTGGCAGCAGCAGCAGCAGTCTCATTTTCTGAGAAAACCAAGGAGAAGAGCTTGTTCACCTGGTTTTGGTTGTACTTTCGGTACAAACCTTGACCTATGCTTTCTGCAGTGGGAACAGAATCAGGGCCAACCTTCTCCGGCAGATTCGTCTTTGGCTTCTGTGCAACAATGATTTTGGTGGTGGCCTCGTTGACTTCAGTTGGCAAAAAACTTCTGAGACTTAAGAGGTTCATGACTGCTGAGTTTCCGGCCGAGGTACGGGTCCATTCCATATTGGCATGGTTGACAAAGACATCTGTCACATATCGGAGTACAACTTCTCCATGCATTTTGTCGACAATCTCTTGGTTGAAATCGCACAAGGGGTCGAAAGCAATTCCAGAAAACTGGGTTTGGTCTGCAGAACGGCTGTGACTGACCATTTCACAGTGCTTGTCCATAACAAATTCAAGGGAGTTGTTGGAAGTAGGCATTTTTTTTGACAATAAAAAGGGTGTTAAAATTGAGGAAGAAAGATAACTGAGAAACTTTTATTAAGACACTGGGGTATATATACCAAAAAAAATATTTTAATAACTTAAACGTTTCTACCAAGGTATAGTCTTGTCCTGTTGTCTTAATATATTTGGATAAAGAACGTGTTGAAGAATAATGAATGTTTACATATTAAGCTTCTTCACACTTTTAAGAACATTTATTTTATTAGCCAATTTACAGTGCTACCAGAGCCTTTATGGTGTCCTGTCCTCTGTCTCGAAGGAAGGGGTGGGATTTCTTCTCATGGGTTTGCCCAACCAAAAAAAAATAAAAAAAAATAAAAAAAAAATAAAAAAAGAAAGTTTTTTTTTGTATAGAGCCAAGGAAAAGCTCGAAATTCAGTTATTGAGATTTTCAGTTTTTCAGTTATTGAGACTTTCAGTTTTTCAGAAATTATTTGCGAAAAAATGGTTATGTATATTATAAAAATTTATGAATAAAAATGCTAGTTATACTATTTGGAGAATTATTTTTAAAATTGCTATTACATTTTTCTTTTTTTAATTTCTCTTTTTTTTATTTCTTTTTTTTTATTTCTTTTTTTTATTTCTTTTTTTTATTTTTTTATTTTTTTTTTTTTATTATTTTATTTCTTTTTTTTTTTTTTTTATTCTTTCATCTCTTTTTTTTTCATTCTTTTTTTATTTCTTTTTTTTGTCATGAGCTTGTGCTATTTTTTGTTACTGTTTTTGTGTGTGTAATATTTGGTTTTTTTTTTGGTATTTTGTATCATGAGGGTTTCCAAAATTGAGATTGGGTAGTATTGTGGGCAAAGTATAATTCTTGGAACACTTTCAGTTATTTAACAGATTGTTGGACATTTACTTGTTTCGAGGGCAGATTACAAAGAGTTGTTGAGTTTGATATTAAGAAGATCAGGATTCTGACATTGTAAAATGATTAGAGCAGATGCTGAATAAATATAGCATTTTTGGATTCTTTTTTGTAATGGTATCAGATGCTTGTGTAGGACCAGGTTCATAAGAAATACAATTGCTGTGGTAGTCAATCAGATTACTGGATATTTGAGATAAAAATTGGCAAGTTTTTGTATGGTTGGTAGAGTGAATTCTACTGTTGGATTTCGAAAAAATATAGTTGGTGAAATGCACTTAAAAGCATTATGAATATGTGTAGACTGGTTCCTATCATACAGGTAGATGTTTGATCTTATAGTTTCTTTGTAGGTGGAGGGTTGAATTGTCACGTTTTCTTTTCAGATTTATAGCTTTTGTTCAAAATACTATAGATTATTTAGAGATTAATATTAATGACTCCGAGGTATAGGCTTTATTTACATACAGAAACATAATGTGATCTGGAAATAATAAAAAAATCTATGAGATGTAGAGCTTTAAGCAGTGTTTTAATTGTCAGAGTAATATTTAGTTGTTGAAGTGAGCATGAGAATGAGATTTATTGCTGATTTAAGAAGAGAAATAAAGAGTTTTGGTATATAAACACCAAATAGAAAGAGAGAGAATTATGATATCTCTTTTAAAAAAGAATGTTTATAATAAATTTATGGCTGCAAGTAATATATTGTCCTATTTATTTTTTATCTCCTTGAGTTCAATTTGTACTACTTTATTTAGTGGACCTTGGAATATTATTTTTTGATATAAAAAGCTGAAAATATAATGACTAATACTATTTAACAATAACTTAATCTTCTTTACATCTATTCTTGCTGCTTCAACTTGTGTTCTGATTTTTATCTTGCATCTTAAGTAATTACTATTTCATTATAACTACTATATACTAGATATAACTGTATTTATATAAAATATGTCATTTTAACATATCTTTCTATTTCTTTATTTTTTCATCTTTTATTATCAGAAAATCCTAAAATGTTACACGAGAAATTTGAAGAATATAACAGTGCCTTTGAAAAAATCATGGAAGAACTTGAAGAGCCTGAAAAGCCTGAAGATCCAAAAAGTTCTGCCCCGTCAACAACAGACGAAACCCCCAAAAAAAGTAGAGGGCAATATCAAAAGCATACGGATAAAGATATAAAAAAGCTTCTTTATCTCTACTTCATAAGGGGATTAACTATCGAAAAAGCCAGCAAGATAGTAAATATGAAACAAACAACTGCTGGTGGCTATATTTTGAACTGGAGAAAGTCTCCAGTCGTTTTTTTCATTAAAAACAACAAGGAGGCTACAAGTGACGAAAAAATCAATCTTTTATTCAAAACTTACTCTGCAATAAAGAAAGAATACAAATAATATCATTGCATTTTCAATTTTAACATAATTATTATAATGAAATACTTGCTTTATTATCTTATAACTGTAGTAAGGTATTTAACTTCAACAAAGTAATCTGGAGAAAAGTTTGCATATTCTGTTAGTTCTCTCTATAGATATTTTCTATGACGTATCTTTGTAGAAAGATCTACATATATTGAAGTGCTATTACATTAGGCGTTTGGTACTTATATAAAAAAATATGGCAGTTATATAAAAAAAATACAACGTTTACAAAAAAAAATACTATCTATATATCTAAAATCAATCAAAAAGCAGCATCACGTGATATACGAATTTGCCTGTAAAACATCTATTCACATCTAAAATCTAGCACTTTTACTGTAATATGCGAGAAGTCACACAATAAGATAATAAGATAGAATGAAATATGAAGATAAAGATAATGTTTATTTGTGATAATATTTGTGATATTTATATTAATTTATAAGATGCCACAGTATCCTAGATTCTAGCTAAGTCCTTTTGCTGCGGTATCTTGCTGAGCAATGGTTGTCTTCTTCTTCTTGGCCTTGCTCACCCAACTACTGCAGTTGGAGTAGTTGTTCCTGATTGGGTAGGATTGGAACTGAGTGCCAATTCCAATCTGCTCCTGACATTACTATGTCACATTATATACCGAGGTATTAACCCCTTGAATTTATTTTACAAACTATTGCCAAAAAACTTATATAACTATCAAACCAAACTCTAACTTTGAAAAAAAAACCGAAAAATAAAATGTCATCTACTCAACGTCATTGTGCTGCTTGCCATATGCTTGGACATAGCAGAAGTACTCATAAGCAATGTCTCATGAACCCAAAGAACATTTCTCTCCACATTCCTCAAAAGAGAACTAATGTAGATGAATATCCTGCAGAAAGTAGCCAAAGTAACTATTTATTTATACACTTATGTGTATTACTGCAAGTATTATATATATATTTTAATAATAAATGTGTTTATAAAAAAATAGCTACTGCCTTGAGAATAAGAAGTGAGCCTGTCCAAGACCAAAATTTGGACATAGAAACATTGACTTTTATTTCAGTTTCTGAGTTGACTGAATTTCCACTCGCAAATGAGACTATTACTGAAGTTCTTGAAGCAGTCATGGAAGAAGAGATTGAGGAGACTTCATCCGATGAAGAAGTGACTGGAAGAGAAGAAGAAGTCGAGGTCACTTCATCTGACGAAGAAGTGACTGGAAGAGAAGAAGAAGTCGAGAAGATTTCAACTGTGAATAGAGGATCAATTTTACCCCATTGTCCTCACTGTAACGGAACTGATCATCGCCAAATTACAAGCAGATTTTGTCCAAACAATAACAGTAGCAGAGCAAGAGGATCTAGAAATCGAGGCAGAGGCTTGAATAATATTGCCCGACTTCCAGCTATTTCAGAACCAGCAGTTGATAACAGGGGATATATGGATATCGAGTGTCGATTTTGTGGGGCAATGATGTGGGCACATGAAAAAAAACAGTCGTTCTTCTTTAAGAAGCCCCACGTTCTCTATGTGTTGTAACAAAGGAAAACATGTTCTCCCCCAAATTGAGCCAACACCTACAGGAATTGCTGAGCTTTTGAACTATAGAACACGTGATGGAAAGAAGTTTCTTGAAAACATTCGAAGCTATAATAGTACAATGAGCTTTACTTCTTTGGGAGCTAAAATTGATACCTCTGTTGGCAACAATATCAATGGGGCATACAACTTCCGGATTCATGGAACAATTTGTCATAGAATTGGATCTATTTTGCCAGTGACAGAATCTGATATCGCTCACCCAAAATTCGCTCAGATCTATATTTATGATAGTGCTGCTCAGATAGATCAAAGACAGTACCATTCCCCACAATTGGAGAGAAGTGTTTTGGAGAAGATTCAGTCCATTCTTATGGAAACAAATCCATTTGTACATCTCTTCAGAACAATGGATCAAATTTCTTGGGAAAAGGGACAATCTATAGATCTCACTTTGCGTTTAGTAGCTGAGGGGCCTCGAGATCAAAGACGGTACAATGCTCCAACTGCAAGTGAAATAGCAGTTCTTAGTATGAATAATGAAGAGAGTACTTCAAGAGACATTGTGCTGCACACCAGAGCCAACTTCCAACAGAGCATCAATGAGTACCACTGATCTTATGATGCTTTACACTATGTGCTGCTCTTTCCACATAGTGAAGATGGTTGGACCATTGATGCCAGCTCATTGTCAGGAGAGCATGTCACAGTAATGCAATGGTACTCAAACTGTTTGATGTATCGACACAACACACAGCACCTCCTCCATCTTTTTGGCCGTCTCTTTCAACAATATATTGTTGATATGTATGCCAAAGTTGAGCACAATTGGCTGCACTTCATCACCAGCAATCAAAATCGTCTCCATGTAGATCTTTATAGTGGAATTCAGGATGCTGTTATCCATAACGATTGTAATCTTGCAAATCTTGGAAAGAGAGTTATTCTTCCATCTTCTTTTATTGGTAGCCCCCGGTATATGGCTCAACTTTATCAAGATTCAATGAGTATTGTGCGTCGTTTTGGCAAGTCTGATTTGTTCATAACTTTCACTTGCAATTCAAAGTGGCCAGAAATCACAAATTCTCTGTTGGCTGGGCAAAAAGCTAATGACAGACCAGATCTTTGTTCTCGGGTTTTCAATATGAAGCTCAAAGAGCTCATGATTGACCTTACAAAAAAAATATTCTGGGGAAAGTTTTGGCCTTTATATATGTCATTGAATTTCAAAAGCGCGGACTTCCTCATGCCCACATTCATTTGATTTTGCGACCACAAGATAAACCAAAAACAATAAATGATTTTGACAGAATAGTTTCGGCTGAAATCCCAGATCCTGAAACTGAGCCATTGGCATATGAAACAGTAAAAAAATGCATGATGCATGGCCCATGCGGAAAGAAATATCCAAAAGCACCATGCATGAAGAATGGGATCTGTTCAAAGAATTATCCTAAAAAGCTTTGCAATGAGACTAGCAATGGTGGAAACAGATATCCTATTTATCAATGCAGTCGAAATGGAAGAGTTATTAGAAGAGGGCCAAAGATCATAGATAATAAATGGGTTGTTCCACACAATAGATACATATATGCAAAATACAATGCTCATATAAATGTTGAGATTAGCACCTCTGTTTCTGCCATAAAATACCTCTACAAATATGTATATATAGGACATGACCGTGCAATGGCCCGTGTGCAGCCTACACCCACCAATTCTGCTCCACAACAACAACAAGAGCATGTAAATGAAGTTAATGAGTTTCTTGATGCTCGGTATGTCTCCGCTTCTGAAGCATGCTGGAGAATATTTTCTTTCAAGCTTCATCAAGAGTATCCCAGCCATCAACGACTTTTAATCCATCTGGAAAATGCCCAACCTGTATATTATAATCCATCTTCTAACCCAAAGGATGTTGCAAATTCCAGAAAAAACACTACTTTAATGAGATATTTCCACTATAATGCTACACACCCATCATCTGAAAAACTTCTTTACGTTGACTTTCCTTCTCTTTATGTATGGAATACAAAAGAACGAAAATGGACAGCACGTAAGAGATTTGATAAAGGAATGATTGGCAGAGTTTACACAGTGTCTCCAAGAGATATTGAAAAATATTTGTTACGATTACTGCTGCATAATGTTAAAGGGGCCAAAAGCTTTGAAGACATACGTACAGTAGAAGGATGTGTGTATGAAACAAACCAAGCTGCATGTCGTGCTCTGAGATTACTTTTGAATGATGATGAGTGGAGTAACTGTATGGAAGAGACAGCAGCTCATCAGATCCCATTTTCTTTACGAAGACTCTTTGCTATTCTTTTGATTTTCTGTGCAGTATCAGATCCTTTCTCTTTGTGGCTTGCTCATCGCGATTCTATGATTGAAGATTATCTTCATTTGGCAAGAGAAAGTAGTGGAATTCCTGCGTTAGCCCCACACAAGATATGTTTGACAGATGTTTATGGGATATCGAAAGTCATCTATCTGCCAACTCTATGTCTCTCATGTTGTTCACTGGATTTGTTCTTCCACCAATGCCTGACATCCAGCACTTTAGCCCAAATGGGCAAGATGTTCAAGCCATCATACAAGGACAAGAAGATTTATGCGATCAAGCCCAGCTTTTGCCAGATCCAGATACATTGACATTCAATAATTCACAAAGACGTGTCTATACAACAGTATTAAGTGCAATTGAAGAAAACGTGGGAGCCTCAAGATTGTACTTTGTTGATGGTCCAGGTGGGACGGGAAAGACATTTGTCTTTAATGCCTTGCTTCAAAAAACTCGCCAACAAAAAAAATTGCTCTTGCAGTAGCAACAAGTGGAATTGCTGCATTGCTGTTAGACAGTAGGCGTACAGGACATTCCAGGTTTAAGATTCCAGTGCAAGTTGATCTTAACTCCTTATGCTCCATCAATGCAAACTTGCAAACGGCACAACTTATTAGAAGATCGGAATTGGTTATCTGGGACGAAGCTTCTATGATTAGTAAAGATGTTTTTAATACTGTAAGCAGATCCATGCAAGATATAATGAAGGCTGTCGATCCATTGCTTGAAAACGTTCCATTTGGAGGGAAGTTGTTTATCTTTGGAGACAATTTTTGGCAGGTCCTTCCTGTTATACCCAAGGCAACAAGAGCTCAGGTTGTAAGCCAATGTATCAAGAAAGCATCTGCATGGAGAAATGTAAAAACCTTGTGGCTTACAACAAACATGCGAATTGCCCAAGCAAATAATGAACAAGAAACATTAGAGCTTAGGGAATTTGGAGCATTTCTCTTGCAAGTTGGTAGTGGTTCTGCCCACACAACAGGCGGTGATGACACCATCCCAATTCCGCCCCATATGTTACTTTCTGGATGTAATCCTGCTGATCTGGCCAAAGCAGTTTTCCATGATCTCTCCTCTAATGCAGCCAACCCTCATTTCCTCATGGGCCGTGCTTTGCTTACTCCTAAGAATAAAGATGTCAAGAAACTCAATGATATTCTTCTGAGCCAGTTTCCTGGAGAGGCACGAGAGTTTAAGAGCGTCGACCAGGGAATTGATGAAGATGGTCAGTTGACATATCCAGTTGAGCTACTAAATACCATTGATCCTAGATCCCTACCACCTCACTCACTGTCCTTAAAAAAAGGATGTCCTATCATGCTTCTTCGCAATCTTGACCCAAAAAACGGTCTCTGTAATGGTACACGCCTGATTTGCAACTCTTTTGGAACATCTGTCATCAGAGCAACAATTGTGACTGGATCAAATGCTGGGCAAGTATCTCTTATTCCAAGAATAAAGCTTAATCCATCTGAATCAAATGGTGAAATTGAATTCCAGCGGTTCCAATTTCCAGTTCGTCTTGCATTCGCAATGACAATAAACAAGTCACAAGGTCAAACTCTTGAGAGTGTTGGATTATATCTCCCTGCCCCAGTATTCTCCCATGGCCAGCTGTATGTTGCTCTATCCTGGGTCAGAAAACCTTCTACAATCAAGATAATGCTTGATACACCAGCAAATTCCAATGAAACGGCAAATACTGTATTTACAGACAATGTTGTATTTAAGGAAGTCTTTGACATTTAGTAAAAAATTATATATAACATACACTATAAACTCATCTAACCAATTTTTTTTGAATAATAAAACATCTATACATATCCTTTCTTTTCATATAATTCACTCAAATAAAATGTTCCTATTAATTGTGCTATACGATACTTAGACTTCCAATAGGGAAGGGTTTTACAGTCATTTCAAAAAGTAAAGTCGCTGATTTTGAGTTTGATGTCGTGCAAAAAAACTTGTGTCCAACAATGATGTTGACTGATCCGGCAATTAAGTTGTGACGAATTTCGTTTATTTTTAGTTGTCGCTTAGTAATTGCCCAATAAAATTTCTTGGCATTAATTATTTTTATAAAAAAGGGGGCCATTCTCGGTGTACCTTTTTTACTTCTTTTTTCCTATTTACAATTTATTTTATAGACATATGGAATGAGTATGCAATTTCTTTACGAAGATGGAAAAGGACATGTTGTTGATGAGCATGGAGTTGAGCCGATGGATCTCGTTGTTGACAAGGAG